GTAGATTTAAAAATAAAACTGCCAACAGGTGGCGGCAAGTCGCTGTCTTAATGAGCCAGGTGTCGGGTCATTCATTCATTCATTCATTCATTCATTCAGTAATGAAGCAAAATGCTGTAGTTATGAATGGGTTATTAATCACTGACTCTCCAAATCATTCAAAGCCGCAGATTCGTTCACTAATGAAACACCGCTGTATGTAATGGAGACGCACACCAGATGTTACGGATTTCGTTGGGACTATTATTTCGTTGCAAAATAGAACAAATATGACATTATTCTGTTTAAAATGTAAGCTACATTTAAAATGTAAAACGTTCACTTAATATTACCTTTTTTTGTTGAACTGTTGTAAAAATTAATGACACATTTGCCATCATTTGGATATTCAGGGATATTTGCATTCTTGCTCGTATTTTAAACATGAAAACTATAACACGCACAGAGTGTGTCTGTATCGAAGAGAGTTTAAATCGATCTCAGTCCGTGTCAATATTTGCTCTTCATGCTGTTAAGTGAAGATCTATTTTAAAGACATTGAACAAAAGCGTGATTTGCTAAAACATTATATTCAGCGGGCATCCTATCACATGCACGCTGCTTGTGTGGATGCAGTCAGTTTTGACTGCAAAAGATGAGGTAAGCTGATTGGATATCGTGTATTTGACCGTTTACAGCACTCCCATTTTCCTGTTTTTAAATTAGAAGCGGCATTTTGCTTGTCAGAAATACATGTTCGGTTTTAATGTTACTTTAAGTTGGGGTAGAATTAAATGAGCCAAAACTCAGAATTTTGTTCGCGTACCCCAGCTTGAGAACCACTGTTATAGACATCCTTGATCGGAACATTTGTACCAGTTGGATGCCAATGTTAACTGCTGGCTTTCTCCAGGTATTACAAAACTTCTTCACCAGAACAGACTGGTTGTTTAACGGGGCTGACAAGACGTGAGACGTGCGGATCCATAAGCAAAGCTTTATTTGGAGAAGACAGAGACATGGTCATAAGACAGGCAGGGTCAAACAGTGGCAAACAGGTATATGGCGGGCAAGACACAAGAATAATCCTAGGGCTAGCGTGGGTCGACGATTGGCAGACAGAGTCACAGGGGCAAGGCTAAAGGGAGAAATCCAGGAAAACAGGCGAAGATCAGGCGAAAACAGACAAGGCTAAGGCAGGGAAACAAATGAGGGCTCTGTAGTGTAGCTATCTGAGATATGCGCTAAACAATACTCGGCAGAGGGAAGGGATCAGAGTGAGTGTTAAATAGTGAGGGAGTGATATGAAACAGCTGGGTGCAATCAGTGTTAACAGCTGTGTGCAATCCGTGCTGAGTGCAATCAGTGCAATGAATGATGGGATATGTAGTCCGGGGTGATGTGCAACAGTGTGTAGTGCGAGAGTCAATGAAATCGGAAAGGGTGACCTCTGATGGCTAGCAGATGGAAGTTCATGGACCGGATTCGTGACAGATTGAATGCTAATGTTAGCCTAAAGGCTAACTTTCTTCAGGTACTACAGACCATAGATATATATATATACAGTGGGTACGGAAAGTATTCAGACCCGCTTAAAGGTCTTATATAGACAGGTGTGTGGCTTTCCTAATCAAGTCCAATCAGTATAATCAAACACAGCTGGACTCAAATGAAGGTGTAGAACCATCTCAAGGATGATCAGAAGAAATGGACAGTACCTGAGTTAAATATATGAGTGTCACAGCAAAGGGTCTGAATACTTAGGACCATGTGATATTTCAGTTTTTCTTTTTTAATAAATCTGCAAAAACCCAATTACCTACAGTAATCTTCGTTAATACTTTTCTCACAATCTGACAGGTTTATGTAAATCAGCTGTTGTTGTTTCTTCATTGTTTGTTTGAGCCGTGGCAACACAGCTATGTAGAGTATCCAGGGGACATGCCTGTGCATTGTAGCGTCGCATTTCTAGCGTGGTTATACTTTTAATGCACAGGTGTGTCCAGGTGGGGCCTCCACTTTTCTTTCTGCACACACTTGGCGATTAGACATATGATTATGTTTTGTAGAGATGAAGACATTAAATTCACGCAACTATACATACAATAAGTGGCATGTTAGCGCATGTTCTGGAGAGATCAGTCATGGAAAAGGAAATTAATCATAACTTCCATAAACACAATGGAAATTCATTCGTTTCAAAAGACAGTTGTATAATAACACCCTGCACTTATATATTTTTATAACTCTTTCCATCCACCTTTGTATATGATTATATTTCCTTTCTCTTATGACTAAGTCCAGCTCAGCTAATTGAAGCTCTTCTCAACAAGTTGTTTAAAATGGTGCAGTTTGATTAGTTGGATCATCTTAACAGTTTCTTTGTTATTGACATAGACATGATGGTGATAGATTAATGCTGAAAGTACAAGCGTTTCCCATTAGTTTACACCCGAGATGATGTTGGTTTAGCACTTCAAAAAGATACGATTGCGAAGAAGACCAAACAAAATGCCTCGATGCACAGCTGTGGATTCTTTGAAAGCCTCTAACCGAGACATCCATGTGTCAACAAACACGATGACACAGACATAACATGTCTGCTGAAGAGTTTAAACTGAATTACAGCCTATAATTATTGTCTCAACTATAATAAATGGAGCTGACTTGACATGGGAAGTTGACATGCTTTTTTAAATGAGTTATATGAATAAGATGAATAATGTTTTTTGTGGAGATATGAATTTATTAAAAAATGTATATATATAAGTATATTATTTAATAAAACATTAAAATAGATGGCATGTGTATGTATATACATGTAATGATATATAATTTATGTTGGTACATGTAGTTAAATTTTTTTAACTAACTAGTACTTTTTGTTAAAAATTTAATATGAAGTAAGTACTATTATTGATCATTTATTTTATGCATTTTTTTATTTATAAAGACTGTATTATACATTACATATACATAGTTGTAGTTTTCTATTAGGATCTATATGACTAAGATGAATAAGTATTTATTTTAAGATATTAAGTATTTATTAAAAATTTTATTTGTTATATTTGTATTTATACGTTAGCATGTTATATATTTTTATGTAAATATATGTGTGTGTGTAATTTATATATTATTTATAAAATACAAATTCAAGTTTTCAATTAAATTTCACGATACAAATCGTTGCAAAGCAACTTTACAGAAAACTTTTTTTAGAGTGGCCTTTTATTGTGGCCAGCCTAAGGCACACCTGTGCAATAATCATGCTGTCTAATCAGCATCTTGATATGCCACACCTGTGAGGTGGATGGATAATCTCGGCAAAGGAGAAGTGCTCACTAACACAGATTTAGACAGATTTGTGAACAATATTTGAGAGAAATAAGCCTTTTCTGTACATAGAAAAAGTCTTAGATCTTTGAGTTCAGCTCATGAAAAATGGGGGCAAAAACAAAAGTGTTGCATTTATAATTTTGTTCAGTGTATATAATTTTTATACAACAGTTCGTTCTGGTTCTCAAATCTGATTGGTTGAGAACCGTGAGATATTGTACTGGTATCGCTACAGGAACGCCCTTTCACAATTTTGTATCACTCCGCTTGTTCTAGTCGGGTCTATGTTTTTTTTTATTATTCACTGAGCTAATCGTAGAGTATGTTAGTTAATATAAGAAGAAACGTCTAGCCGCATTATTTCTCACTAATAACCTCATTATTTCTCACTAATAACCTAACTGAAGCAGCACATGCCCTTGATACGAATTCTAAAAGTGACGTATGTTTAACTGTCAACTTGAGCTTTGACTCCGGAAGTAGTCCTGCGCAAAAGAGGGTTTTATTAGGCACTCCCGTTGTTTCTTGTTTAATTACACACATGTTCCGTCAAACTGTTGTATAAGCGCAATATCACTCTCGTACTCGAGCGATACCAGTGTTCCGGTGATTTCAGTTCCCTTGTTTCCCCTTCAGCATCACTGCAGTGCTTTATGAAGCCTCAGAAGGGAATATGGGAGGGGGGAACGATATTTCTCAGGCCTTTGGGAAAATCTGTTCCCCCTGTATTTTCGGTGTATGGGACTGTTCTGTAGATTAAAGTTGTTACACATAATGATGACACTTAAATACATCACCAGCATCACCTCTGTAGATGAAAGTTCTTCTAGAGGTGAGTAGCTTAATAATAATAACAACAACACAGTATTGTACAATGCAATATGGTTTATTTATGGAAAACATAAGGTTGTGTGACACACCCTGACACACACCAACAACAACAACAACATAACAATAATATAATAATGTAAACGACCGTCGAAATTCGTTTATTAAACTGGACGCATTAGCTGTTATACAGAGTTTCTCAAAGGTAAAGTTAGCTGTAAGTTAGCCTAAGCCACGAAAGACTGAGCTATAAAACCTCCAAAAACAATACATTCTACTTATGTATTTGACAAACAACGTGAAATATACCTTATGTTGATAGAAAGTAGGAAATAACATCATAAACTGACACTTGAGATAATAAAGCACACATTTTCCGCTTCGAAATCATGACGTCGGGATTTCACGCATGCGTGCCGAAGGGGAAAATATATATATAATTATATATATATATATATATATATATATATAATATTAATAGATTTATGCAAAAAATTCATATCCAAACTTTTTCTGAAAATTCACAAGAACAATATTGTTGAAATGACATCACAAATACATATGAATAAACCAGGTTTTTGTCATCTGCACTAGCCCAAAAATATGACTACAACTATCGCCAACTACAAAAATGACAAAGCTGAAGTATGATCTCATTTGGCTGAGGAGTGCAGACAGGTGGGGACGAGCGGGAACTTACAGGCCTCTTAAAAGACCGTGTTTGTCACCATCCGGATCTCAAAGTATGCATGTCCGAGTTGACAGCTTTTGTTTTCTTTTTCAATAAGCCACCTTATAATTTAACTGTCGGACAGGTAGCCGCATGTCTGCAGTCATTACCTGTTTGTAATTACCTGCACTCCCATCTCAGACGACTCATGAGGCCACGTTGTTTTCTCATGGAGCAGCGCCAGGGGCCAGAACAGGTCGGGCGGCATTCCCTGTCCCGTGACTTCTGAGGTGTTAGACACCCCAGAACCAGATGTGTGGGGCAGGACGGGCGCAGCCAGACGGACTCTCACTCTACTGCGACTGCCACACTTCAATGACTCGTATCTGAAGGGGAATCACTAGGGCAGGGACAGTGGAGGAAAAAGGGGTGGGACGGGTGAGGGCGTGTTGGTAAGTCCAGTGGCTTGATCCTCTGATGATTGTGCTCTCTGAAGTTGTAGCTGCGCAGACGTCTTTGGTTCGGTAGATCAAACGCAAGGAAACTGGCACAGCATTTACCATCATTATGCTGTTTGCACAACTGCGTTTGTATGTTTAACTCTTATTCAGTGTGTTTTACTACATAAACAAGTCGAGTTTGTATGCAAGTTACTTTTCTTCTCATCTGTCTGTTTCAAAGTCACAAGGCTGTGAGATGTTTCTTCTTTTTAACTAACAGTGTTTTCTCTGAAGAAGCAGGCGATGACTTATATATTATTAGTGGTGGAAAGAGTACTAAGAAATTGTAGTTAAGTAAAAGTATTGCTACTTAAGGAATAATTTACTTGAGTACAAGTAAAAGTACTGAAAAATAATATGACTCAAGAAAGAGTAAAAAAGTAGTTTGCTGAAAAACTACTCAAGTTACTGCGTTACAAAGTACTTTAGTATTATTCATCTATTTTTACCCAAAATGAGACGATGTGAGCACTATGGAGCAGGGTTAACCCTAATCCTAACACCCATGTACTGTAATATCTGTTTCACAAGTGAGAACCAGGAAATCCCTTATATGGACAAATGCATCAGATATCACTACAGCTGAATAACATGCAGATAGAGATGCTTTGACTGATGAAACGGGAAGACAATAAACACACAATTGCAATGCAACGCTAATTGACATAGCTTGTATCACAGTATAGAATTCAATTTTATAAAAAAATATTTTCTGTCTCACTGTGATAAGAACAAATCAAAACATGCTATTAGTCTCATAAATTGTCATGTTTGACGCTATAGGGCCTTTCGCACCGCAGGAACCAATTTGTAGCGTCTGGAACACTCCAACACACAATATATATTTTGTTAGCTAGATTTCACAAATACTTTGTAACACCCCAGGACGCTGAACAAGACCCTGGTTTCATGGTAACCCGATACATTTACAACCTTGTCATAGTACCAGAACTAATTGTGGAACCGCCGAAACTGGGTGCGATTTTAGTACCGGACTGCCTTTTTCGAGAACAAAATTAGCTCCTACTCCGGAGCAGGGTCTAACCAGCACAACTGGTACTAATCGTGACGTAAGTAGACATTGATTGGCCAAACACGTATGAAAACGCCCTCACCCGCCATGATTTAAAACGCAGTGTAAACATACTGTAAACATTGTGTCAACTTATTTCGCAAGTATGGAGAACAGCGATAGATGGACGGACGCTGAAGTGCAGACACTTGTAGCAAATGTAGCACTGCCAGTTGTCGTTGGTGATTCTTAGCCCTCCTTTCTCTTCTTTCAATCGCTTTACGTATACGTCGACATTCCATGTCCATTATTGTGAAACCCTCGAGACACAACAAAAACACAGCTCCGATCACAGCGTCCTCCATCCTCCTGTTGTTAATGTTGTTCTTCTTTGTTTCCGTTGTTGAACGCCTCGCACAAATGACGTCGCTGTCGACCGGCTTACATCATTTCCTAGTACACACTGTCGGTGCGAATGCAACCCTTTGCATGCTTTTTTAAAGATCATTATTTTGTGTATTTGGTGTAACAGAATATGTTGACATGCTTTAATGTTCAAAAAACACATTATTTTTCAAATTATGTACATTATTGTAGGTCCTCTATCCCCCGCCTCTCTCAAACGCTTCGTTTTCTACAAAGTCCCTCCTTCCGACAAGCGCCGTCTGCTCTGATTGGCCAGCTGACCCAGTGCATTGTGATTGGCCGAACACCGCAAGCACTCGTCAGAAATGTAACGCCCCTTACCATAATCGCGAGCTTCATTTTTCAAAATAAATGTAAAGACAGAGCCCGAAAGGGGAACAGAGTTGCGTGACAGACACAGTGATGAAGCTGGTATGTGTGCAGTACACAAGCCACGGTTAAGACAGCTGACTCCACTTTGACCCTGTCTCTCTCTCACTCTCTGTCACACACATGATGCGCAAAACTCCGCATTTGAACAGTCAATAGCAAATACTTAAACTAATAACAAAACAGTAGCTGATTCAGAAGAGCCAGATTGTCATAGCAAAGTCAGAATGACCTCCTCTCCTAGGTTCACGAAACGGTCGTCCATAAAATGCATTGCTGTTCTGTTGTAAGTAATCTTAAAGATTCCTAAGTGCATCTACTTCCGGAAGGCCAAATAAAGTGCTTTTGCTTTTGCCTAGAAACACAGCGTCTCCCTGACATGGCTGCTTCAACACTAACTGCGGTTACTGAAACCACGCCTTCTTTCTTTGCGTGCACATTTTGGCGGCATTATGCAAATATTTCCACATAGTGAGGTAGATATGTGGGGGCGTGTTTGAACGAGCCGTTTTAGGGGTGTGTGGCAGAGTCTTAACTTTGATAAAGAATATCTCTTTGTTTTTGAGACTTTAGTCTTTGCAACTTCAGGGATCTTATCTATGCACAATCAGCTTGTAACACTCCAAAGAGAAAGGAAAACTTGAAATCGCATCATATGACCCCTTTAAAGGTACTGGGAAATAGTTTGCGCAAAATCGTCCCAGTACTTTAGTACTGTACATTTAGTTCTGGAACTAAAGCGGTGCGAAAGGCCCTTTTGTTTATTTTTTAATTTTTTTTGTACTTTGTACTTTTGGTGAAAAATAAATGTAGCGAAGTTGAATTCTTTAGTTGTATTTTACTCAAGTAAAAGTACCACAATTTAATTATACTCAAGAAAGTAGAAAAATTTTAAAAAATGTACTCAAGTACTGTAACGAAAGTATTTGTAATTAGTTACTTTCCACCTCTATATATTATAAAAACTAATGTAAATCACTCTCCAAAAGACACTCCAGGTAATACAGGGACAAAAAGTCAACAAAAGACTATGTGAAAGGAAGCAGTGCCTCCACATCACTGTGATAGGCTGATTGTCAATGCAATAATACCTGCCTATTGTCTGCAAATTAGTCAGACTAGATTGTCTAATTAATGTCATTATATTGTATTATAGTATATTATATTAAATTAAATATACATTTTATTTTTTACTTTTATTAGTGAATTTATTCAGACTGATTCAATCACAACAGCTGCGCCTTCAAATTTGATTGGTTTGATCAGGTGAGTTATGCATTATATTTATTACTATTATTATTATAAGTAATTTAATAATATATTTTTTTATATTATATTTGTCATTTTACACATATTTTAACTTACACACATATATTTATATTTCATTTTAAAGTAAATATCAAATTTATATTTATTTATATACAATACAATACAATACAAATTCATATATGTATATAACCATAGGAGATATAAAATATGTGTTATATATTTAAACAGGGGCGTAACCATCATTTCAGAAGTGAGGGGGACAGAAATTTCAACTGTAATTTTTATTATTATTATTTATTTTATCTAATTGACATGTTTAATTTTTTCTTATCTCTAATTTTTAATTGGCTAAGAAATCAAATAGCCTACACTTCTGGACAATAACCAATATTTTTCCTAATGACATTTTGATCAATGGTTAATAAACTACAATCTCTTTTTTCCATTTTTATCACAGAATAATGTAGAAAATATATTTTATAGTTTCTATACTGTAATAAATTATAGGCCTTATGTCAGTAAGCACTGCATTATTCATATACTTTCTTTACTTTTTACCTGGAGATGCAAAACACACATGAACACACATATATTGTTGCAATTATGTTTTTATCGTCTTCAGATTTCCTCAGTCAAAACATTTCTGCTTTTTATTCAGCTTCGCTACAGCGATATTTGGACACTTTTGTCCATATTAGGGATTTCCTTGCACATCACAAGTTATTACTTCTATGAATCCGTTTCGGAATTCTGCGCGAGAGCGCCCTCTGGTTTTGAGAATGAATGAAACGTACACTGCAAAAGCATGTATGAAAGCGCTCAGTAATGTTCACATCACCTGGTTTTGGATACAAATAAAATGCTAGGTCATACATAGATCTTTTATCTTTGCATTTAAATCTACATTTATTTACACTGGCCCTTGAAAACATCTATGTGAACAAACTTGCCCAAAAAAAGTGCGGGACATACATTTACGTAAAAAAAATTTAAAGTGCCTAATGCATTTTATGCTCATGTATTTATTATTATTATTTTTTTTTTTACAATTACATTAATACAAACTGAATGTAACACTTAACTCTGGTAAATAAATAAATGTAAATTTACAATATTATAAACCATAGATTTGTGCATAGCCCTGATAGTCAACATTCACCTTTGCACAGACGCTGCTAACTTCTGTTCTAACCCAAATGCCCAAATGCTTTTGTTAATCTGCACGGCTTTAGCGAAACGCTTGAGCTGTAAAGCAGTTTGTATTTTGTAAGTATGCCTTGCAGGTTTGAGACATGCCTCGACATCACAGATCTGTACTGAAGACGAGTTCACCTAGACAGAAAAAACGATTAGGTAAAAGATCAGACTGTTAGAATCTAATAGCCAACACAAACAGGCATATGCAAACACCCTACGGCGACAAACAAACCGCATGCAATATGAGCCACCAAAGCCGATGCAAACAAAAACATTGCAGATCCTTTAGAACTGTAAAACACAAATGGACTTTGACCTGTGCCGTGATGTTAGAATCTAATAGCCAACACAAACAGGCATATGCAAACACCCTACGGCGACACAAACAAACCGCATGCAATATGAGCCACCAAAGCCGATGCAAACAAAAACATTGCAGATCCTTTAGAACTGTAAAACACAAATGGACTTTGACCTGTGCCGTGTGTGTGTGTATGTGTGAATTGTCACTAATCCAGGATCAGCCTTCACAAAAGCACCAGCAAAACCCGTGACACAAATTGTGGCCTCTTGCTTTTCACCTCCACATGAGGCCGGCGGGACCCTGGTGGGCCCCTCGCTCCCACTCCACTCCCCAAGTCCCCAAGGGCCGGGGAAAGGTCTCGTCCCTGTCCATAGGAGCCACGTCGACAGTCGTATTCAAGCAAACTATTTACTCGGTAAACACCTAATCATCTTAGGTGTGGCAGGACGGGCACGGAGACATTTCATTTCGTCTGGCCCCATGGAGGAACTCGAAGAGCCGAAATTGGCCATGAGGGGCCTGAACGAACGGCTGAAGGGGTTCCTGGAGCATGTGAATCAGTTGGAACAGACCAACTGCGAATTGGAGGAGCAGATTGAGGAGTGGGGATTCAGGAACGTCGCTCCGCGGCAGGACTGGAGCGACATGGAGGTGCTGGCACAGGAACTGCGAGCTCAGGTGGGTCTGTGACGTTCGCACTCATTATCTGCTGTGTTATCTACATCTTGCCTGTCTCGTTATGTTTGATACCTAAGGTGCTTTTTATGTGCCCCTGAAAAACCCCTCAGACTGGCTCTGGGGTAATGAGCCTAATTAAGACTTTAAATGCATGTATTTGTTTTCTCAGATGCATCATCTTCTGTAGTGGTTCTCAATTTGGCCCCTGGGGGCCCCACTGCACATTTTAGGTGTCTTAATATGTCGACACACCCAAATCAGGTTATGAAGCTTAAGATAATGAGTTAAATCAGGTGTTTTAGAGAAGAGGCATCAAAAATTAGCAATTCCGATGGCCCCTAGTAGTCCCAAATCTTTGTTAAATTTATGTCACTACTGTATTTGATAGTAAGAATGTGTGTTTGGAATAGTATACTGTCATTCTACTCGTACTGTTTTGCAGTATGCATTCTGTGCAGCATGTAATGATTTTGTAACATTGTATATTCAAGATTTTGCATACTATTTTCAATACTCAATATTACAATATTACAATATTTTCAGTATGCACGGTATCCTGTACTGTACCACTCATACTACTGATGTAGTATGCGGTAAGAATATTCAGTTTGTATAAAAAATAGTATGAAATTGAATCGTAAGCTTAGTGAATGGTTTTGGAGAATTTGATGTTTCCCCATTCAAATGCCTTGTCCAAATACCCACACTTGCGGTCTTGGCCACTTGAGAGCATGTGTGTGCAACAGGAAGTAAGTGTGCAAGACTGTCCCAGATCTTAATAACGACAAAGCGCAGTGCCCTTAACACACACTAAATCCACACTATCTCGAATACCGCTCTGGAGCAGGACATGACTTGCCTTAAAAAGACTTTGATATGCATGAAATAATTAGATATTCTATATATCTGAGACTAAGAATGTGTTCACAATCCATACTACTATACTACTCATACTATTTTTTGCAGTATGCCGTTTTTAAACTGTGCAGCATGCAATAATTACATGACATTTTATATTCATTCATGCTCATTATGGCATACTACATTTTTTGGATCCTATTTTGCATAGTCATTTTAAAAGGTTATTTTTTATAGGTTTGCAGGCTGGTGGTTTGAATTCTGTGGCATTAACATGTATTTGAATTGATTACTAGAGGGCTGTTAACCAGACGCTTAACACCTGTGCTTCCTAAAACCATTCCGTATGGCCTGTGGCCATAATGACCTTGTGAAAGATAGTTAATCCTTTAGTACGGCTTTCGCACCTGGCTTGATCTTTGACCCTAACATAATAATAGCCTACTTAAAGATTTGCAAAAATGCAGATAACACAGTTTAAACCCACTTGTGTTGTTTTGTGTCGTTTTATTGTTTTACAGATAGCTAACTATTTTGTGCGCTCTGGGGGGGAAAAAACATCAATCCTCAAGATACAATCAATGCATTGAGCAATGTGAACAATGGACATTAAATGAAAAATCCTGGCATCATTTAAATCTTCATACCTTCATTCAGTAGTTGTATTTGCATAAACTGAGTATGTCAATCAGTAGACAGTCAGAAAAACCGCATGTTGATGCATACCTACATACACCCTGATCTTTCACACTGACAATTCAGAAATGATTTTTCGTTCCCATGATTATATGGGTGTTGACAGCCATTTATCATCAATGAGCCCAGCCTACCTTGCTAATAAGTTTTTTTTGTTTTGTTTTTTCATTATTTTTTATCAAATTGTTCAAGAGGGTGATTTCTACCCACGGGCAATTATAATGTACTTTATCTTAATTATATGTCTTTTTTCCTGTTAATTCACCTTCTTTTATGTTTGTTTTGGCAGGTTAGGATGATCATAATGGAAAATGCAGAAGTTTTGTTACAATCTGATGCAGTGAAACTCAGGGCAGCACATTTAAAGACAAGGTTAGAAACTTTCAGTGAACAAGAAATAAAATAAAAAAATTCTCAACTAAATAATAATTATATATATATATATATATATATATATATATATATATATATA